GTACCCACCCCCCTATTACCCGACCCTACCCGGGTCCCCACTGTATGTCTGAAGAGATAAGTACAATATGTCCGATTGGGAAATGTTTGACCGTACTCCTGTCAAAATGTATTTAGATACACTATAAACCGATATGGTCATGCATACACTGAAGTTAACTGAAGTTTTATCTTTATGCAAACATATAAAGTCAGAAGGAATGTGTGCATAGTCGGAAAGAAATGTGAACATTTGTCACTTAAAGTGTAACCATAGATAATTTTTGCCATTAAACAATAAAATCACATGACTAACAACGGGTCCGGGTAGTCCTGAGTACCCGAGTTACCCGTCCCAGCCCTAGCGCTTACATTAATTGGTTTGTTGCCAGAATCAGACTCATCATTCCACAATACAGCCATCCTATGAAGAAATAACCAGAGAAACGCCCATGACTATTAGGACTGATCAAGTCGGACTCATCCATAGCCTTCTAGATACTATTGTCAGGATGCAAGAAGACTTACCGTATTTTCTTGAGGGGGGTGCGCATTATACATGGGTGCGCACTATACTCAAGAAAATACGGTACTCTCCTCCCAAGTCTGGATGTCTTCACAACTCCTAAAGCTACAGCATCAACAACTTATAGCTGTTTCTAACCAGACCAAGAGGATGATAACAACACAATCTATATCAGCTACCACAACATTCAACGGAAAATTGGGACTTGTTATAGATGAAGTGAGACAAGACCCTGCAGAATGATTCCAAACTTCAACTATCAACTTATCAACATCCCATCCTCAGAAGCCTCCCTGGGACTACAAATCTTCATCTTCCAAATGGCCTCCTAAGAAGAAGTTTGTCCCCTTCGGGAAGGATTAATTCCAACCAAGGTGTGGGGTATGACAAGCGACAATCTTCTCAGGATTCTTTTCACCAGCCAGACTACAAGAAACGAATATACAATCGCCATGGAAGATCTGGAGGCAGAAATGAACGCAGGTTCTGACTCCCATACCACCCCTTCTGACATCATAGACCCTTTCGACCTGGTCACGTCTATGGACTGCAATTTACGCCTACTGTCTTCCAACATAATGCCAACTCGGGGACCAGTGGGAGGGTGCCTTCTGTCATACGCCGAAAATTGGAAGCAAGTTAGGCTCAACCACTGGATTCCAGACTCATGGGTACAAGCTACATTTCAGGAAACATCCTATCCTGAAGACACACACCATCGGACGCAGATTTCATCTAGGCGGAGCCAGGAAGCTACTAAAGATGCAAGCCATTTGGAGACTAATGGAGACCAACAACACCAAGGGATTTTATTCTCTGGCCTTCTTAGTCCCGAAGAAGAATACAATCGAAATGAGGATGATTATTGACCTAAAGACCCACAACAAAAGATATCTGGTACCGCCGCCGCAGGGGGGGTCAGGTAGCCTAGTGGTAAAGCATTCGCTCATCAAGCTGAAGACCCGGGTTGGATTCCTGACATGGGTACAATGTGTGAAGCCCATTTCTGGTGTCCCCCGCCGTGATATTGCTGGAATATTGCTAAAAGCGGCGTAAAACCATACTCACTCACTGGTACTGCCACTGGAATCTGCGATCGTTACAGTCGATGTTGAAGACAGGAGATTGGCTCATCAGCCTCGACCTACAAGATGCCTATCTTCACGTCCCAATACACCCATCCTCCCCTGTGTATGGAGACACGATTGTTTGCCTTGGCAGACTCCTTCAATTGCCGGATGGAAGCGAGACATATACCCGGGTAACTGAACATACTGACTGACAGCCTTTCTTGCCGGGGGAGAATAGTGGCAACAGTATGGACCTTACATCTACAGATCTTCGCGTGGATAACCAAGTTACGAGACACACCATACCTGGATCTATTTGCCACCTGGCAGAACAACCAATTTCCGATTTATGTCAGCCCAGTTCCCGACCAAAGAGCTCACCAGATCGATGCACTATCGATGGAGATCAATCTATTTGCTTACGCATTCCCAACATGGTCTCTCCTGGACAAGGTTATCCACAAGGTGGAGGAGACGGATTGCGTAATAATACTGATAGCTCCAATATGGCCCAGCAGGGCATGGTTCCCCAGACCACTAAAGCTACTAATGGAGGTACCTATTCAGTTACCTCTTTGTCAAGATCTGCTATGACAACCCAAGTCCAGCATTTTCCACGACAATCTACCCAGCCTACATCTAACCGCTTGGAAGTTATCACGCAGAAGATGCGGACATCCGGATACTCTGAAGCTGTGGCAAGATCGTGGAGACCTTCATTATCCCTCATATATGACAACAGATGGGACAAGTTCATCCAGTGGAGAAAACAACAAGGGATTATAACTAATACAATCTCCATCCCTATGGTAGCAGATTTTCTACTACATCTACATCAAAACAACAAATTCCGACACGGGACGATAGAAGGTTATAGATCATTCTGTACTTCAAGGATCCGACACCAGACCAGCAGCATCAAAGGGTGATTACATGCTTTATTAGAAGCACCTTGAATATTAAATGTCTCCATTAGACCGGAAGTGACGTCAGCACCGGAAATAGCAGAACAGGGTCCATCTAATCAGGGAATGACTTTGGGTAAAAATAGACCAAGAGAGATGTCATTACCTAGAAAAGGGGAAGTGACATACTGGAAGTGACATCATAACGGAAGTGACGTCGTCACAGGAAGTGATGTCATCACTGGTATCAGGGTCACAAATCCAAATTTACCAAGAAATGACGTCATTAAGCAGAAATAGATTGGAATTGACATCATTATCATGATCAAGATCAGCAAATATAACGGTAAATCTATCTAGTGAAAATATCACATATTTGACTGATTCTTGACACATTTCTGACTTTCAAGTCCTCAGGGGGAATTTTAGAGGAAAATTATCTCAAGTAGAATTAGAATCAGTAATAATGGTTTGCAGAAGAGGATTGCTGTCAATTACACTGGGAGTTGCTGGAGGCAGATCCCGACGGGTCCCTCTGGGATATTCTGGCAGATATGTAATAGAGGTGGAGATTTCGTAAGGATTATCGAACAATAGTTATCATTGTTAATAATTCTAAGAATACTTCCTCTATTACATCCGAAGTACTCCCTTCCACCTCAATTCATCTACCTCTAGTAGTAGATAAGGGGAAAAAATGATGTTGCCGCCATTATGACGGCAGTTATGAGACTACTTGGCGACAACTAGTTGTGTGTGTAATTGACAGTGAAGAGGACGTCTGTTGAAAATCTGAAAATTTTAGTTAGTGTGATTTAACCCAAAATACAGGATTTATGGCAGAGATGTAATAGAGGTAGTATTCTTAGAATTATTAACAATGATAACTATTGTTTGATATTTGCCTGAGCTGTGTGAGTTAGATTTTGAGACAATTTACTCAAATGACCAACCCAAATTTCAAAGTTTACAACAGGTGTTATTGTTAAAGAAACAAGTTCTGATTCCTGTAAATGTTATTGAACCCTCTAAACTTTAGAAACCCCCTCCCAAAATTAAAAAAAAGTCCTGGGGGCGGTGGGATAGCCTAGTGGTTAAAGCGTTCGCTCGCCATGTGATTGCCTGGATTCGATTCCCCACATGGGCACAATGTGTGAAGCCCATTTCTTGTTTTCCCAGCCGTGATGTTGCTGGAATATTGCTGAAAGCAGCATTAAACTATACTCACTGACTCGAAACAGTCCTAACACCCTCTGTCTGTGAATTATGACTTGTCCTCGCAGCGTTCATCCAAACACACTCTCCCACTTCCAGACGAGCAAGGTATTCATTGTTGTTGCAACATGCCTCAAGCTTGGATGGTTATTTTGAGGTGCTCCTGGGAGCATGGAGCTAAATATGTCAATACAGGTAGTGATATTTCTGATGTGAGGACTGTGAAAATATGTATTTCTGTCATCCATATAATGTACTGTTTTCTTTTTCTTCATGGGATCCTCTTGACTATGTTTGCTACAGGATGAGCAGGTGCACTGGCAGATGTTTAGATAGATTGCCACAGATGCTGCTGTATCAGCAGGCAACAGGACTGTTGTTGAGACAGGCTGCATGTAAGGGTTCAACACCAGCACTCAAAACTGGCTGCACAATATTTGTGTTATCATGTTGAAAATTGGGTTCAACATCGAACAATGGTTCAGTATATGAACTCCATGGTATCTTTTAAATAACCAGTAGCCAGGAAAACCAGTAGTTGATAGCAGGATCAAAATTTCATGCTGTAAAATAGCACAATAAGCCAGGTCCTCAATTTTTAACCACCCAGTCCTCTTATTAGTCAACTCTTAATTAAGACAAGCATAGGTGCAAGGTTTGCCCTGGGATCCTATGGGGAGACTAACATGGGGTGCTTGGGACCTATTCTATTATAAGCATAGGGTGCTGGAGAGCTGGTCAGGCCTGGGACCTTGGGGATACAAGCATAGTGTGCTGGAAAGACAATCTGCCCTGGAATCCGGGAGACAAGCATGGGGTGCTGGAGATTTATTCTGCCCTAGAATCTTGGGTAGAAAAGCATGGGGTGCTGGAGATTTATTCTGCCCTGGAATCTTGGGGAGACAAGCATGGGGTGCTGGGGAGACAATCTGCCCTACAATCTTGGGGATAGAAGCATGGGGTGCTGGAGAGCTATATTCTGCCCTGGAATCTTGGGGATAGAAGCATGGGATGCTGGAGATTTGTTCTGCCCTGGAATCTTGGGGAGACAAGCATGGGGTGCTGGCGAGACAATCTACCATGGAATCTTAAGGAGACAAGTATGGGGTGCTGGAGAGCTAATGTGCCCAGGAATCTTGGGGATAGAAGCATGGGGTGCTGGAGAGCTATATTCTGCCCTGGAATCTTGGGGAGACAAGCATGGGGTGCTGGAGAGCTAGTCTGGCCTGGGACCTTGGGGACATAAGCATGGGGTGCTTAATTGGGACCTATCCTGCCTATAATTCTATGGTAAGAAAAGCATGGGTTACAGGGGAGCTATTCTGTCCTGGAATCCTATTGGGAGATGAACATGGGGTGCTGGAGAGCTTATCTGCCCTGGAATCTTGGGGAGACAAGCATGGGGTGCTGGAGAGCCACTCTGCCCTGGAATTTTGGGGAAGCAAGCATTGGGTGATGGAGAGCCACTCTGCCCTGGAATCTTGGGGATACAAGCATGGGGTGCTGGAGAGCCACTCTGCCCTGGAATCTTGGGCATAGAAGCATGGGGTGATGGAGAGCCACTCTGCCCTGGAATCTTGGGGAAGCAAGCATGGGGTGCTGGAGAGCCACTCTGCCCTGGAATCTTGGGGACAGAAGCATGGGGTGATGGAGAGCCACTCTGCCCTGGAATCTTGGGGAAGCAAGCATGGGGTGATGGAGAGTCACTCTGCCCAGGAATCTTGGGCATAGAAGCATGGGGTGCTGGAGAGCCACTCTGCCCTGGAATCTTGGGGAAGCAAGCATGGGGTGCTGGAGAGCCACTCTGCCCTGGAATCTTGGGGAAGCAAGCATGGGGTGATGGAGAGTCACTCTGCCCTGGAATCTTGGGGACAGAAGCATGGGGTGATGGAGAGCCACTCTGCCCTGGAATCTTGGGGAAGCAAGCATGGGGTGATGGAGAGCCACTCTGCCCTGGAATCTTGGGGAAGCAAGCATGGGGTGCTGGAGAGCCACTCTGCCCTGGAATCTTGGGGAAGCAAGCATGGGGTGCTGGAGAGCCACTCTGCCCTGGAATCTTGGGGAAGCAAGCATGGGGTGATGGAGAGCCACTCTGCCCTGGAATCTTTGGGATACAAGCATGGGGTGCTGGAGAGCCACTCTGCCCTGGAATCTTGGGGATACAAGCATGGGGTGCTGGAGAGCCACTCTGTCCTGGAATCTTGGGGATACAAGCATGGGGTGATGGAGAGCTAATCTGCCCTGGAATCTTTGGGATACAAGCAAGGGGTGCTTGAGAGACAATCTGCCCCGGAATCTTTTGGATAGAAGCATGGGTTGCTGGAGAGCTTATCTGCCCTGGCTGGAATCTTGGAGAGACAAGCATGGGGTGCTGGGGACCTATATTCTGCAATGGTAACCAGATGCAGAGGAGATATTCTGATTACAGTTGATACACAGATCCCCTAGCATACTAACCAAGTTAATGTATTATATACACATAATGAATCATTTGGGCAAGATAATGGAAGAAACAACAACAATTATTTGACTTATTATAGGCTTACAATCACAAATTGTTTCCTCTTATGTTTTCTCTCATACTTCAATGAAATAATAATTTAAATAAATATCTTCTAGCCCATAATAGTAAGCAAACCTTTGATTGTTTCAAAACTATTTTACCTTTTGACAATATTTTAACCAATAATTGCAATAAACACAAAACATGTGCTGAAATATTCCTGAAAGAAATTCAATACTAATATACCAAATAAACAATGTATATTTTTCTATTCAGTCCTTGAATCTATGTGAAACAAATATAACATGAATAATATAGATAGAAAGACTACAAAATTGCAAGAGAGCCTTAACACATGATTCAGTCTGTCATCTTCAGCATTAAGACTTGCTAGACTGGGCATCTGTCTACAGTTTTATCTGGAAGGGAACCAGTCAAATATTTGCTAACAAGAGTTATCCCCCCCAGTTTCCCAGCTGTCCGTCTGCTCACAAGTCAGGAGATATTTGAGAACATTTACCAGCACTATTTCTTATCTACCAGATATACATTGTGGAAACAGAAAGATTAAAGTTTCTGGGATGAAACTTCCAAGGTAACTGCTCTTGTGTTACTTTTTGTGCTTTTTGTGTTGCCATAGCAGCCTCAGCCTGCTAAAATATACAGTTGGGCTTTTGTCACACACCCTGGGTTGTTGCATTATAGTGTCCCACGGCCCCAAAATCTACAAAACAGGGAGGCCATAGAATATTTGGGGGGCTCAATACTATTTTGTTGGGTATTTGTTTAATTATAATATACTTAGTTTTTCAGAGTTTTCTAAATTAAGAGAGTGAATTAATTGGGTAAATTTGGATTTTTTCTGAATAAGTGAGAATGGCAGAGTTGATAAAACATGTTTTTAACTGGGCTCACCCCTGATGAAAACAAAATATATTGTTGGGGGGGCATTGACACCAGGAGCTGGTCTTTTATGATAGTTGGGGTGGAGATTAGAGTTCACAATGTAGCTTACCCACAACATTTCTCTGGAACTTTGTTTTTCATTTTCAGCAGACAAAGTTTCAGTCAAGTCATTTAGTCATATTAAAATATTGACTGAAACTATGAACTGAAACATATTGTTTTGTGACTGGTTATTTTTTAAGAAAATGATTAATGCATAATAAAATATGATGTTAACATTATGAGACATGTACAACCTAGTACCATACACTGTGGGTACTCCACGTACAACCTAGAACCATACACTGTGGGTCCATGTACAACCTAGTACCATACACTGTGGGTAGTCCATGTACAACCTAGTACCATACACTGTGGGTCCATGTACAACCTAGTACCATACACTGTGGGTAGTCCATGTACAACCTAGTACCATACACTGTGGGTAGTCCATGTACAACCTAGTACCATACACTGTGGGTCCATGTACAACCTAGTACCATACACTGTGGTTAGTCCATGTACAACCTAGTACCATACACTGTGGGTCCATGTACAACCTAGTACCATACACTGTGGTTAGTCCATGTACAACCTAGTACCATACACTGTGGGTACTCCGGTTAATAATACGAGGCTTGTTAGCCCACTCTGTTGACAGACCAATTAAGATGAGCTTACTTTCTTTGTTTTTCTTGATGTAGACTATATATATGGATAACATGCAGCAATAAAACAGTGTTATTCTTTATCTTTCATCATCATTTATAAAAATTATTGTCAGTTTAACTGAACAAAATGTCAGACAATCCAGTCTGTCACTCATTACCAAACTCTGACAATAAGGTGACTGCATATGTCCAGTCTGGCATCAGGGCCCATAAACTTCAGAAGCTGCAGGCCTTGACTAAACTCTTCCAGCCCACATTGAACAAACTTCAGCTTACTTTGACAAGGAAATCAATGCATAAATTTACTGCAGGTCGTAAGGACTCATTCAAATTTAAAACTACAGGCCCTGCCACGAGATCTACCTGTCACAGGCCTACCTTTTCAATTGCTCTAAATTTACTTACTCTGCACTTTGGCAATTGATCTAATGTTACACATCGTCTTCCTAAACATTTCATGCAGTGAACAAGAACTGTATAAATATCTTTTGAACTAAAATATTATCACACTAATACTAAGAAGTAATACATAATTCTTGATTGGGATTGTCTTTATTTAAATAAAAAGTCGTAGTTTTCAGTAACTTGTCTGTTCATATTTCTTTTAGGGTTGCTTTGTAAAAAAATATTTTGAACATTTTTTAAATAAAAAATCCCCATGATTTCTTTATGTCAATGTTTCCATTCTGTTTTCTTCAAATGAAAAATAACTAAAATATAAAAATTGGTTTCAGTATTTTTTCCTTTAGTTTAAATTGGAACTTGATTGATAGATCTAAGATTTGTCATGCATAGTCCCACATGTGGGTGGCAAAGTGGCAGAAGTGTGTACCCAACTGAAATGGTTGCAAGCACAAGTCATAGATTTGCACTAATAATTCCTTGAGTGCCTCCCTGGTGGGGGGACAGAGTGTCTGTGAAAGGCCAGTGGTTCAATCGCTGACAGCATCATACCAAAGATGTCAAAACATGTTACTTGTTGTTACCCTACCTTCCACTTAGCTTTTAGGGGGTATAACAAGGACAAGTCAGCTTGTACTCAGTACACTGTGTCTCAAATGGATAACCACATGTCAAATTGCAGCGTTGTATCTCAGTGGGCTAGCACTATAACACAGGCATCAGTCTGGACTAGTACAATTAGCCACATGCACGGACGCACCTGCTATTACCCACCCATGAATCCACCCACCCATCCACGCACGTCGCTTAAATCTTGAACTTGACCAGCCTTAGAAACTAACATTTTCAGTCCACTAGTCCTTATGATGATAACATATAGCAAAACCCATGAAAATGACAAATTTCTGCTTGTCCTTATGATACCTTAACTATTGAGCAGTTTGGCAAGAACTATGGGACTAGTGCCAATTTCTATTGCTGCCAACCTTAAACCCCGTTTCACATCACCTTTAACTGCCACATTTCAGGCTGTAAGTTCTCCCCTGGCTGACATGAAAACAATCGATCAGGAACTAAGGCCCAGAAACTTCATCCATTGAAGACAATATTGCAAAAATAGATTTTACCGTAAGTAATGTGGTGAGCGCCCTTGTACACAAATAGAAGCCAAAGGCTCTGTGACCTGCAACATGTCAAAAATTGACATGACAGGACACACCTCTCTCATCATTATGCCAGCAATTAGACATGACTTATGAAATATCTGTTTGGAATTTAATAAAACCATATCCCTTTTGACATGTTTGGGGCCAAACTTTTTACATGGATCTGTTCATGGATTTGATACTAACACAGGTAAATACAATATATTTCTTGCAGAATTCTTTGATTCATTCTTAAATCTCATTGACTTGTTGATTTCCTTTTCTTAAAAGCAATACAGTGCCTTAGATAGTAATAGATACTTAGATATTCAAATTTATTGTCACAGTTATCATCCTTTGCAAACATCTGTGTTTCAGTTGTACACGACAAGCTAGGTAATACCACGGACCTAAATAGTTTTCACACTCCAACCATGTTTCTGCTGCTGTTTGTGTATAGATCTATTGAAGTAATGCACTGTTAAAGTAGGTAAAGACCAGGTAAAGTACAAGATCTTACCTTCATGATGAAGTGGATGCTTTACAACAGCCAGGGACGAAAATGTATGACTATTGTATTGTTGATGCTCATGATGTCAATCACTGGATTGTCTGGTCCAGACTCAATTATTTACAGACTGCCGTCATATAGCAGGAACATTGTTGAGTGTGGCGTTAAACAACAAACAAACAAAAACTATTTTATTGATAGTCTAATACAGTAGAACATGGATATAACTAACTACTAGGGACCGGAGAAATCAGTTCATTATATAAGTGTTCGTTATATACATTTTCGTTCATAAATTAGCCATGTTGGCTAAAACAAAACACAATACACATACACCTTTATACACGTTTCCTCCTGCATTTGATGGTGAATCACTTCAAAATTACCAATTAATACAACCGTGGTTCTGTAAATAATGGTGAGTTGTGCGATCTACCAATCACTTCACACACGATTTCACCAAAATTAATGTAAACATTATTACATGAAATTTGTTTGTTTTACAGACAAGATTAGTCCAATTACATGGACAGGTAAGATTAACATAATGCAAGTTTAACAAGGTTGAATCGTCTCCAGTGATTGTTGATTCCCTGTGATTTTGTTGATTTTAACAGTTGGTTGTATCCGTTTGTTCACTCTATCAGTGTTTGTGCAGTAATGGAGAAATACACCTGAGTAGTGCCAAGAGATGCATGGAGAGGTGGGATTGGTGGATAGGTCAACTTTGTTGCTTATTTGATGACAGACAAAATGTTGGCCGAATTTATTGACTGTATCATCTGTTAAAGTGAATGTAAAACTATGTAACAAGGTGAGCAGCAGTGTTTGTTTCTTAATGCCACACTCAGAAATAAATAAATAATCAAGTTTGGACCAGGCAAACCAGTGATCAACATTTTGACCAGAGTCCCATGACATTACTGTGCCTGACAACCTGATTCATTTACTTACCCTGTACAACCAGTATGGGTTGCTGAGGACCTATTCTAACCCCAAGTCCCAATGGGTGTTGTGAGCTACAATTCTGTAACACATATTTTTATATTAATTGAAGACATCAGATCTGAATCATGTTATCATGCATATGAATGACAAGAAGTAAATTACCAATTGACATCCACTTGACATGCATTTGACTTCAGATCCTTGTGGAAATGCCACCCAGGTGCATTCTGGTAAAATTATACAATGTAGGTCCCGAGCAATCTCTGCTTGTAGAAAGAGACATCTAAATAGATCAGGTTGTCTGGGTGACTTGGTAGATGCTTGTGATCATATCTCAGTTGTGTGGATCATTGGTCAAATATGATGTCAGTCACTAATTGTCTTGTCTGGACTCTATAATATAAAGACTGCCTTCATATACTTGGACCCAGGAAGATACGGTGGAATATTTCTTCAGCAATCCATGCTTTCTATGAGAGGCGACTACGGGTATGCTTGTTGTTAGAGGCGACTAACGGGATCGGGTGGTCGGGCTCACTGACTTGGTTGATGCATGTCATTGTATCCCAAATGCTCATGATGTCTGGTCAAGACTTGCTGGTTACAGACCGCTGTCATATAGCTGGAATATTGCTGAGTGCGACATAAACAACAAACAAAAAACAACAACTTGTGGTCATGCAAGAGAAAAGAACAATAAATAAATATCAGGTGTGTGATGTGGTGACTGGTGAGTCTGACAATGTATGCTAATCAGATAATCTACAGTAGAAGTAAATAAGTAATCTGTTTAGGCTTTGATCTTGCTAGGAGCAGTAGGTACAGACCAATAATGTCAACTTGTCACAGTTATCTGAAACAGACAGAGATAACGTGTGTAATTTGCTCCTATTTTTTAAATCAAATTGGAACCTTTTGTTCCAATGATAAGGAAACTAGTAAACCACTATCTTGAAAGAAGCCCATCCATGCATATTTAAAGGCACAGGGCATCATGCATGTTATCTCCTGAGGTATAAAAAAACAAATAAGGTGCCACAAAGTAAATAACAATTACTCAACTTTAGAACAAAATATGCTCCCACCGAAAACACCACATATTTTTTAAACAATGCAATTAGTCCCATGATGGGGGCACGGGTGGCCCAGTCGTCTAAGGCGCCGCGATTCGCTGTGCAGAGTTGCGTCCCTTGGGCACTCCAGAAACCTATGATCATGGGTTCGAATCCCGATTATATTTCTAGGTTTGTCAGCACCATACCCGTGCTCGTGGGTTTCACCGAAGTGGTAAACGTCTGAGACCTGCATCACTTCGGGCTTTCCTCACACATTAAGCTGACACGCCGTGATATAGCTGGCAAAGAGCCAAATTGTTAGCTACCATGGTTGTTCCTCTCCCTTTACATTCCATGGGGGGTGTACAGGACTGTTCGAGCTCAATCACATTAAAATCAGATATTATAGTTCCCTATACAGCCAAACAAAGATCTGCGGAAATCCCACTACGGGTCCCATTAGAACGACCTTTTAACCGACCAATTAAAACATGCTTACCAGATCATGAAAGTAACACTCGGAATGTGTTTTCTATTCATGAAAAGGTTAACACTGGTTATTCTGAATGACAGTTACGGGCTGTACAACCGAATCTGTCAGAACTATCATCTATGTCACTCTTCAGTGGTATAAACATTTAAACGGAAGCACCTGTGGAAAGTACTGCCTTACAATTACAGCAATCTATTAGTCATTCCAGAATGTTCTTTTATTCAGTTTTCAAATTTTCAATTGAGAATTTTGTCAAAATATCTTTCAAAGTTTCGTGTAGAATGGAAGTCACCAATTTGGAAACTGCTGCCTTGCCGCTCGAGAAAGCTGCTTTCTGATTGGCTTATGTTGACTTCTTGTTAGTCATTTCATCGGTCGGTAAAAGTTCGCGAAAGGTCGTAATGGGATGTCCTCAGATCTTTGTTTAGCAGTAGAGTGATCTTAGGTCTGATTTAATGAGATTGGTTTGAGCTGTCTGGGCTTCTACAGCAGAAGACACATGTAACAAATGTATTATTACTCATTCACAAGTTACTCGGTTAAATATTGGATGTGACAATTAGATCTAGCTTGTGACCATCATCAGACTATCAGTGTTGTAACGCAAAGTGAGAACAGAGTAGTTGTGACATGACATATGACATGACAGACATCTGACATTACATCAAACATTATGATGTCATGATGTCCATTAACTTGAATGGCTTTTCACAAGATGGCGACTGTAATGATACATGCAATGACACTGCAAATGTGGCCCATTTACACTTTATTGGATGAGCAAATTACAGAGAGAGAAAAGAGTCATCTTTTAATAGCAGTGACAAGGATAAGTCTGATCTGAGAGGTGTCACATGGATGAGCAGATTACAGAGAGAGAAAAGACTCATCTTCAGGAGTGACAAGTATAATTCTGATCTCAGAGGATAATTTTGTCCTGCATGCCAGCATCTTCCCAAGGCAAGAGAGTTAACTGACTATAAAAGTCCAGTTTCGACCCTTGGTATTATGGAGTTACATTTTGGCTGGACTAACGAGTCTATGCATAGTCCAATCAAAATCGCGCAGCGAAATCGGAATCCGGTTCGTAGAGTGTCATGCAGATTTCGTTCGACTGCAGGATTTGCAAAGCATGTGCACCGCTAACTCGTTGTCAACAGATATTTTCTTAATCTTTTCATGTTTTTAATCAAGGTGCTCACATGATTTGATGCACTTCACGATGTAAGACTCGTTTTATCACAATATAGATCTTGATTATCTATCAGATCGTCTTGACTGGGCGCCACCGTTTTGTTTGAAACAAATGCAAGTGATACGAGAGGTTGAATCTGATTGGTCAGTAGGAGAGGCAAAGAAAGGACATAACTTGCAATAGCCACTGGTGGCGCTACGATCGAGCCCAGGATTTCCAGCCTAGTTCGGCAAGAGTGGAAACTGGACTTTTAAAGTCAGTTAACTCTCTTGCCTCGGGAAGATGGCATGCCAGAAGCTCAGATGCCATGGTGCTGCATCTGCTTCCCTGAGAGCTGTTGGAGGGTGGTGAGAGCATGAGCTGGGTCACGCCGTTCCCTGCCACCTCTCCTTTGCATCTCCTTTGATAAACTAAATCATATGTAAAATGGACTTTCCCCTCATATTCATAATGATCTGTAAATGAGAGCCATGTTTTATAACCTAAATGTGTAAAAATGAACCTTTTCAGCAATACCTGTTGTGTCACCATCGCAGGTGATCTTCCAAGGTTTTGGATTTAATTTAACAAGAAGTTTTGGCTTCATTTTCAAGCTGCAGGTGTTCAATTTTCACAGCTAAATGTAACACATGTTTTGAGAGCTGAGGTCTTATGTTTCAACTCATTAAATCTTTCAATTTTTTTCACAAGAGTATTTCCTGAGATTAACTGAAGCTATTGAACTTTGCATGTTTTCAACTTGTGGTTTTAATTCCTTCCCTCATCTGTATTAGAAATTCATTTAACAATCTATTTCAACAGCCGGCCATTTGTGAATGTGCCCATGAGATTTCAAGACGACTCCAGTTCAGCCAAGGTATATATGTGTGGTGAGGTGAAATGGGGTGTGATGGTACATGTATTCAAGATTATTGCACTTACATAGCGATGTGCATGCATGTGTGTGTGTGGCTGCTTGTACTAGTCCAGACATAACATTGTTACCCCACTCAGACACAGTATACTGATTTCAAGCTGACCAGTCCTTGTTTTGTTCTCCTTAATGCCAGGGGACACCAGAATTACGCTTCACACCTTGTGCCCATGTGAGGACCGAACCTGGGTCTTCAGGGTGATGAGCGAACACTTTAACTACCAGGCTACCCCACCGACCCAGCGACAGACAGGGTAACAACAAGCACAATATTTTAACTCTCTTGGTATGATGCGGATTGAAACCCTGACCTTCTGCTCTTTTCACAAGACCATGGAGTTGGTCAGGTATAAAATCCGACCATGGCTTTTGGCTCATGGTTTGGGTGTTCAGTGCTTAAGAAAGTGTTCA